TCCTTGAGCTGGCTGAGGAAGGGCAGGGTGGGGAATGCTAATTGATCCCTATGGATCTGCAGAGATCTTTTTGCCTGCCTCATCTAGGACCTGTCCTTCTGCAGTTGTCTCTTTGGGATGGTATCTGTGCATCCTGTACGCGCTTGAGCAGTATCTGCTTCACCCGTCTGCCCCTAACCTGTACACATGCAGGCACGTTGAGGTTAGGGGCATGGATATGTACTTCCCCTGGCTGGCCAGCTGGGTGTAACTTTTTGTCAGGGCTGGAGACTGAAACCAAAAGGTTGTCTACTTTTTTTTTTTTATAGAAAAGAAAAAAAAATTCTATCCTGTACTACCTGAACTGTGACACTTTTATATGCACAATACTCAAAAGAATTGGTTTGCAATATGTATTTAAATGTCTTGAATTGGGAAGATTGTTTCAGTGGATCTGATGCTTTTTACTGTTTTATAAGGAATGCAATAAATATTTGACCTATAACTGCTTCATAAATTAAATGCCCTCGCATGCTTGATGTTTTGCAAAAGCATAATGCTGTAAAGGGGAGGAAGGGGATCTGTTGAAATCTTTCCTGACCAGTTCGTCACAGGGCAGATTGTCTTTCTGCAGCAGGGCTATCCTAGCAAAGCTACAGAAGAAGAGCTGAGCCACAGTGTTCAGTTTCTGTAGATGGGCTGTGTGAGCCACGTCAGTGCAAAGGCCTGATGCTGCAGCATCAGCCTGTGCTGGACTCCAGACCGGAACAGACAATCCCAGTTGCCACCTTACAAGTGAGTGTTTACCGGGAACTAGAAGCGGACTACTTTGCTTTTACCTAGTTTAAAATAAACACATAAAATCTCCTTTGATCCAAAGAGTCAACCAAAGCCCTATTAACCAGCCCTGATTTTCTGGGGGTAAGGGGATGGCCTCAGGTAGGACTGCTGTGGGATGACCCAGGGGGTCTTCTCCTACATTTGGCACCTTTTGCTCCAAGTGTGAGGTGCAGGGCTTTGCCCTTGCTCCCGTGTTAACATACTGTATTTCTCTATAAACACACAAAAATGCAAAACACTTTCTCTCTTCCCAGGAGAGCTGCAGAGCGCAGAGCAGCTGCGTAATGCACTCCCAGGCTGGGTGCAGATACACAGCTGTGGCGAGACCCTTACGGAGTCCAAATGGTGGCCCTCGGAGCAGGGCCTCATCCAGGATCCACTGAACTGGACGGATGGACCTGGCTGAGCCATAGCCAGGCTTTGCTTATTGCAAGACAGTCCCCAGAAGTGTTGGGCAGGAATTATCTTTTATTTTCCCTCTCTCCCTTGTATTTTCCCAAGAAAACACTCCTTATTAAAAAGTAGAAAATAAAGGATTTGGATTTTCTAACTTAGATGGATTTAGACTTTTAAAAGCTGAGCTGAGAGCGTGTGAAGCTTTTTGGGTTTGTGAGGTTTTTGGGTTTGTGGGGTTTTTTTTCCTAACTTCAAAGTAGTTTAATTTGCATCTAATGCTTCTAAAGTCTTGCATGCCCCTTAGTGAACTAGACACGCTTGGCTACACTTGCAGCTGCACAGCCTTATACTGTATATCTGGGAATTAAGTCCTTTTTTGTTCCTTCCTTAATGAAGGGTCAAAATCCTACTTGTGCTGGCACATCAAATGGCTTTTGGAACACATGGCGCACAGCGCTCTGAATAGATCATTTATATTGCTAAGTGAAATCGGTTTCACAATGCAACTTTTGCTTGTCTGGTGGAGTTCTGCGCTGGTAAGGGCTGGAGTAACTCCTGTGCTGTTTAAGGTCTGACTGAAGATAGATTAAAACAGCTTTCCTATTGGAAACTTGCTCCCTGTTTTGAGGTGCACTGGTATTTTGGGTTTTGTTCTTGCTATAGGGCTGCACAGTGCAGTGCTGCAGTATGTGAAGAGTGCAAAGTCAGCCACAGCAAAGCCCTCGTCCTAAAATAGAAGGCGAGTGACATGATCTTCATCTTACCCCCTAGATGAGGCTGGCTGAAAAGGCTCACAATAGGCAATAGCAGGGCGAGTATGATGTAGGGGAAGGTTGTCCCTCTCGAGCATTGTATAGCCAGTGCTGTTTCAGCAACCCTAAATTCAGGAGTCCTGTTCCCTTGTCTGAAATGGTGGTGTGCAATCGTTTCCATTGCACTCCAACGTGATTGCTCAGCCCTCATTCCTGAGCTGCCTGAGCAGCTTGCAATCTTTAACCATGTCAAAGCAAACCAAAGTGCTCTGTGACACTCTTGGAGATGAGAACAAATGTGTGATCGTACGTGCAGTTGTTGCAGTGCACTTCCTGGGAGCTCCCTGTACTATGACCAAGGCTGGACACATTCTCCTTGAGAGAGGCAAGTGTTGTGATGCCCCCTTTATAGAGGGGGAAGCTGAAGTCTACAGTCCGTGACCTGCATTTACTCTTACTGCTCTTGGGGCAGCAGGAGCACAAACTCTGGTTTCCCATGTCCTGTGCTACTGTATTAACTCTATGTGGTTAAATTCTCAGTTTAGTGTGGGAGTAGACCCCTGGGGTCTGTTAACATAACACACTTCTTGTTTCCTACCAAGTGTATATGGAGGCTGAAGAACTTCATTGACCTTTAATTTTCTGCTGAAATTACTTTAGTTCCCAACCTATCGTTATCTTGTGGTTCTTTTGGCCACCTGGTAATATGAGCTTGCCCAGCAGCATAAAACATACATAACCTTAGCTTCAAAGCTCATTTAATCTTCGCCAAATGAAAGCTTCACTGCAGTGTTCGCTTTAAAATATTTATTGTGAAATGGATAACTGGAGCTGTAACAAGAACTTGAGTATATTGCTCCAGGTGCTTCACATGGCTGGGAAGTTGGACTTGATCATTGTTCTTTTCAGGCCCTGAAAGAAATAAGTTTCCTTGGCTGGAGGAGGAGGAAAGGAGTAATGATGCACCTGAAGCATTAGCAATGTGTGTGTGTGTGTATATACACATAGCTATATACAGGAGAGATGAGAGGAGAGCCTAAGCCAATTGCTCCCCTTAGTGATACACTTGAACAGCAAAATGTGGGAGGAGAGTGGAGATTTCAAAGAAATCTTTTTTTCAGTAAGGACAGTATGAAGAAGACACCTGCAAAACCCTAGACTGTCTAGATGTTCACTGCCACTATCCTGTTCACCCTGTGCTAGTGAAATGGGAGGTTATTTGGGAATGGGCTTCCTACTGTCTACTTGGGCGGAGAAGTCAACTTCACAGATGCTTTTTCTCATCTTATTCCTGGCCCATGAGCATTAGCATCTTAGGTTATGGCATGCTTAGGCCTGTGCTGAAGGTCTTGCCTTCAGTTCTCCCTTGCAGGAGAGCTATTTTTCAAGATAGCTGGGCCCAAAGCAGTAGTTTTGTCTGTCTTTACATTTTGTTCCAAAATGTAAGCCCTGGCATGAGTTTTGCACTAACTGAGCTCTCTGTAAGGGTCTTCCAGAGTGCAGTTAAATCTAGCTGGTTGCTTTCAGCTGTTTTGCTCTTCCCCACAGCACATGGTGTGAAAAAGCAACCATGCTTGCTACCTGCTTTGCCGCCACAGTGCTAGCAGTACTAACTAGATGATCAAGCAACTGGAAAACCACCACCCCACCCCCAGCAGCTGGAGCTCCTACAGCAATGATACGATTTAATTTTTAAATATGCAAAAAAATCAGTCAAGATTGAACCTATTTCTGTATGTCTCTGGCAACTCTGTTTTCTTCTAACACATGGATATAATTTAGTTCCTGGAGATGCTTCCACACCCACCCTCCTTCCTTTCAGTTCTGGAAAGGCAGAGTATACATGAGCTCAATTTGGCCTTGCCATGTAAATGTCTTTGTGGTTGTCAAAGTCCTCTTTGGCCAAGTTCTCTACTAAGCAAACTCCCCTGTGGCTGATCTATAGCATTATTCAGTGATGCCTCACTTTAAACTAGACCACAGCCTTGCAGTTTGGGTTTGGAGGTTTCTTTGCAGAGCAGCACCACCTGCAACGGGGGTGGCTGGCGGACCCTTCTGTAACCTCCT